AGTATGGAGTCTTTCACTTACATCGGCTGCCACTGACCTTGAATCTCTTGCAGCGCGTCATGAAAGGGCAGAACACGAGCAAGTGCCTGTGTATCTGCTTAGCGAAGCGCCCGGGGTGGTGTGGCTACAACACTCATCTGTCACATTGCGCAACGGACAAGTGGTCGAGAAGACAGACTTTGTTAAGGTTAGATAGTCTTCCTTCTCGCCACCTGTTTCAACAACACACTAACAGGGACACTGTCCAAAGAATGCGCGAGGTCACTCCGTGGGGCAAGTCGTGGCCATGTGGAAACCGGAAGGAGTAAGCGCCAGCTCAACCGTCATTCTCCTGCAAGACATTCAAAAGGGACCGATATCGCCTTTTTATGGGATGCGCGAACTTGTCAGGACACAACATCAAGTATGGGTGAAATTATCAGTCAGTCTTTGGGTCTCCATCCTGCCAGTGTTTTGGGAGTTCTCACTGACCGTGTGTCCGCAGGACATTGCCTGTCTGTTAAACGTACAACATAACTGCCATCGCTCGTTGTGCTCAGTAATTGATGGACGCAAACAAAGGCTCGAAAGGAAAGATACCACTACCTCAGTCAGTAGTGTCAGCCATCAACAAACGGACCACTATATCCTCAACAGTGCGAGCCATTACTCGGCTGAGGTACATCACGAGGTGGCGAACTTGGGCACTCGAAGGCAGACTGCTGCTGAGTGGTTGGAAGCCCTGAAACAAGGTTTACACATTTGGCGATCTGTCCCGGTGAAACCACGGAAAAAGAGGGTACCTAAAGGGAAGGGAAAACAGACACTGGCTGAATTAGACTCAGAATCAGCATCCGATTGATCGGTTTGCTCTTGAAAAGTTCCAACTTGCAATGCAATCTTGTTCTTCCGCGTGCCAATGCCACTGAGCACTTTGCAAAACATTGTGTTTGAATGTTTTTGCAAAATTCCTTTGGTCTGCTCCAAGATTATTTCCTTTCAAGGAAATAATCTTGGAGCAGGCTCGCGTGTGGACCAGCGCGAGGGCCCCCTGGGCCGTCGACCAATCAGCTTCAAGCCGGGGTCTTCACCCCTGGTTTGACGCGTGAGCCAGGTGCTGCGCCGTTGTCCTTCTTAGACAGCTTCACCTTTAATTCTCCTTTAAAACACCTCATTGATTTTTGAGCGAGTTCAACAATTGCACTCGCCTCGACTGCTCTCTCTTCCTCTGTATTTCGAAAGTCATCTAAGACTCACTTTCAAATTATCCACTTTCTACGGCTCCATAATCGAACATCGTTTAGTTTGCAGCATGTCTTCTCAAACATCCCGTGCCCAACCGTACTCCCTATCGACCCCAAGGGTTCCCAGTAAGCCTTCCGTAACCATTCCTTTCCGTTCTTGATTGTTTTGGAAATGACCCGTGCCTCAAGGAACTCCCTCTTTAGGCGCTACGGCACTCGCGCATGCCCAACGTGGCCTCAATGGGGGGACCAATGAGGGTGTAAGTCTCAACCGATCTCGCCCTCAAACCAATGTCGTGTGCCGCCCCATCGGCTGCTTCTACTGATATCCGTACTCCCGTTAACAGCTTGGAAACGACGCCGGTTCCCGTGATGGGGCAGCTACCGATCGAATCTTGGCAGCGATCTTGAAAGTCGAGCGCGAGATGATAGTGCTGTCTGACCACATCCACCAGGAGCTCTCGACTATGGCTCTCCGCGTCGAGGAAGAGATCGCAACCCTCACCAATAAGGTTGATGAGGATCTCGCGTCTGTGTCAGACAAGCTTGACCAAAAGTTTATCACTGTGTCAAATAAGCTTGACCAAGCCACTGATGCGGTGGATGCACTACGGGCAAATGGCCCAGTGGTTGTTCAGCCACCTGCGGCATCAAACACCTTGCCTGGCCCACCAAGCGCGCCGGAACCTTGGAATTACTCCAACAAGGTCAAAGTAAGCTTACCCCTTCTCAATTGATTACCGTTTTGTGTGTCATTGATGGTGATGCCTATCTTTCAAAACAGGATCGGGTGTATCATTTCGCCTATGACTGTGTGTCACTGGCCGAGATCGCCAGTTATACGGCACTCAAGTCACCAAATGGTGACGTGATAGTTCACTCCCTCTTTAACACCATCAAGGTAAGCAAACTACTATCACTCTTTGGCCCTACTCTCGCGCTCTGACATCACACCTACAGAGAAAGATTAGAGAGATTCCTGGCGATTGGGCGACTCCTCAACTGCCCCCGGTGGTCAATGGCATTCAAGATGTTGCGGCCACCCAGCGGTACACGACACTGGTGAAGGACGCGGGTAAACACGCCCGTGAACGTCTCCACAAAGAAGTGAGTCCTCTCACTCTTCCTGTCTCATTGTCCTGTCGAAGTTACTGACAGATGTTATGCAACAGGTGTTGCATAACATTCGCAAAAACGAGGGCAGCACGGTCCCCAGCTTGAAGAGGCTTGCTCATCGAGTAAGTGACTGGGGTGTTTCCAATTGGGTGCTTTGTTTTTATCATTTTTCTTTCAACACACTACTGACGCAAGCACCCCTTGTTCAGATTGCGAAACATTGCAATAGGACCGAAGAACATCGCGATGTGGATACCTTGTGGGCTCAAACGGCGTGGACTCAACGAGTCCGTATCGCTTACCTCGTAAGCACCTTTTGTTTTCCGCGGCGATCATCTCGTTGTCATCACTGACGACAATTTGATGGTTCTGACACTAGCGACGTGAGGCGATTCGCATCTTTCAATCAGTTCGAGCCGGCGGGGGCACAGCCAATATCTGGCACCGAGTGGACAGCCAGCTGCACCTATTGGCACAGGAGGAGCCTTTGTATGCTTCCGCGTAAGTTTTTTATATGCGGACTGATGCGCAAGATGCACGCTGATCAAAACTTGGAGGTGTATATTGTTTATCCAGGTTCTACAAGATCATTTACGACGAAGATCGCGCCACTTTCGATGGGAAAGGGTACTTTGTAGACATTGACGTAGGGGTCACTTTTGACTTACCGTCTGATGAGGAGATCAGGGAAAAAATGCAGGTTTTGGAAGGAGCGGGCCCTATGGCTCTGGACGATTGACCGAGTACTTCATAGCCATAGCGAGAGGATGCACTTGTTTTCCGCGTTTTCATTTCATTATTTCACTCTTGTTGATAGGAAACGAGCTCGCTTCAACAAAATTTCTACTTCCATTATATGATATATTACAACTTGTCTGTACATCCCGTACGTGTTTGGGAACAAAATCTGCGGAATGCACAGGCTTTCATGCCTCCAGCCAGCGTAACTCTCATCATTGCGAACCACCCAGTACCCCAGTCCGTCTGCCCCCAATGCGAGAATTGAATCCTGTCGGCTGCATTGGGAAACACCCTTGGCGGCCTGACGCCGGCCGAACGAGCACCCCGACGGCCTTCTACCGGGGAGCACACAATCAATGGGCGGTGGCACGCTGGGTATCGCTCAAGTGGCTGGCGCGCCTGGAGGTCACCCATGGGCGGTCAACTCACTGACCACCCGATGACCGCCCTGCTTCGCGGAGGGGGTGACCGCCTGGGGGCGGGCGTCCGTGACCGCCTCTGGACAGTCACGAGCCCCCGGTGGTGTAGCCTTGTACCAAGGGCGATCTAAAAAGTTAAGACTGATCGAAGAGTCTATCAAACCAAACTGATCAAAACGACTTGCAAAAGGTTTCACTCAAAAATCATTCAAGCTTTCGAAGAAAAAACAAAATGACCAAACCCAAACCCCAACCCAAACTAGTAAATTTACCTATCGAAGTGATACAAAAGATCATTGAATTTATAGTAGAAGATTCAAATCGATCATCAACTGATCAAAGAGAACAATCTATCTTTGGTAGATGGTCAAATGCCAAATTTATCACTAAAACAGGTCAAGCAAAGGCTTATATCAATTGTTTACATGATCAAGTTCCGATCCTTAATACTCTTCAAAGTTTATGTGCTGTCAATCGATTGTTATATGAAGCATGTAGACCATTCTTATGGGATGTGAGTAGATTTCAATCTTTCCTCTATATAGATCTGATTTGATCTCATCTCGTCTTGATTTATTAAAATCGAATCCTGATTTACATACTTTGGATTGGTTAATTTTTTTTTTTAGAAACTAGTCTTTCCAACTCGATACTCTATTCCAATTTCTTTTTGGACTGAAACCATCTTACCAAAACACGGTGAATTCGTACAAGAGATTACCATGAGATTATCACCTGATTGTACTACATCAAGTTCTCGAAGTTCATCATCATCATCAGAAACCCATCCACCTGAACAAACTCTTTCATTCTCTTCTAATATCATTGGTCGTATGGATCCTCAACATTCTTGGAAACGTCCCATCAAACCCTTTTCGGCTCAAACGATCATAAAAATCTTAAGTCTTTGTCCAAACATTCGTACAATCTCATTCGATGCTTCTGCTTTGGAAGGCGAATCTTTAGATTCAGATGAATTAACTCAATTAGTGGCTAATCTAATTCGGTTTGCTCAAAACTTACGTAATGTGAAATCCATGAATTTCGAAAACAAACGTCCAAATCGATTACCAGAAGAATGTTTAGCAGCTCTCTTGAATCAATTACCTTTACTTGAAAGTTTAAACGTTTCAGGTTTCACATCTCCTTTAAAAACTAATCCAAAGATGACATTAGGATGGAACCTTTCACGTTTGGGTCTTAATAAATTACGAATCTCTGATATCACAGCTCTCGATCTATCTTTTCTAGACTATCCTTGGACTCAAACACTCAAAGACTTATATATCTTTCAATGTCCTAATCTAGCTCTTCGTGAGATGAGACCGTTTCTCGAACATATCGCACCTAACTTGGAAACCCTTTATCTCTGTACTAGTTATCTAGATCGAGATGAAGCAGAAGAATCTGATGAAGATTGGGTTGATGAAGTTTACTTTCATTTACCAAAGTTAGAAACTCTTTTTATCTTGGGACCAGGTTGTGAAGATACGATTTCGAAATATAAGAATTGTCGAAAGATCAAGTTACTTAATCTTGAATCGACGGCTACATTCGATTGGAATGAAATGACTGAATACGTTTCACATTCTTGGCCAGAACTTAAATCCATTCGACTTTCAATCTTTGTGGTCCCATCTAAATCTAAGCAGTTAAATGCAGAAGAACAGGCTTTTAGTGATTGCTGTAGTACTCTCAAGATATCCGCTCATATCTCTAAAATGAGTTATGCTGTGAACCCGTCCATCAGCCCATTCGTGGGTCCTATCAACGTCATGATTGGAAACGAAAGCTTTACGCTATAATGATTCGATTCTTACGTCTCTGGCTTTCAAACCGGGCTCAGGGGATGATGGATCCTTAGGTCTTCCTGTACAGCTCTGTAGGTGTGGTGAACCGCAAGACTTATCCATACCAAAAACTTTGTCTTTCCTTATATCTTTGTTTAGCTCAATACACGACTTTCTTCATACCTTGCTTGTCTTCAGTTCTGAGTCTTTTCGTTCTCCTCGCAAATACCAAAACAAATTCCATCAACTATAGAATTCCCCCAAGGCAGAAAGGCCTCTAGATCTGTATGTTTTTGTTTACCTATTCCCGATTTTCGTTCTCTTCGACTGTTTTCTTTTGTTATTTGGTGACTGTGGATTTTCGACTATGAAATGAATGAAAGGTAGACTTCTAAGAAAAAATTCATTTCATTTTTACACCAAATTTGATCTTCTGTCTTTCTTTTGCCCTGTTTTGTCAGAAAGATAGAAAAAGTTCCAAAAGTTCTCGATATCTTTTTCAAGACTGATTTGAAAATTGTGAGTTCAATTGACATATGGTCACAAAGTAAAACCCGAAAAGTAATCAAAGTGAAAGAGAGTGAGAAGACAATGATCAAGTTACAAATCGCTTCTTCATCTCAAAATTATTCCGTACCCTCATACTCTCAAGTTTATTATGCGTTGATTCCCATGTCTGACTAAGGTTTTTCGAAAAAAATCTGGCCATCACAAGTTAATGAAACGAACCCATCCTGATCTGATCAGCAAGCCTTCAAGGTTCAAAAGAATTTCAATTCGAAAGTGAGATGTTTATGGAAATAACTTTGGATAGGATTATTCCAGATAAATGTCTTTTTATTCTGTCATTTGAAAGCTCTTCTGCTAATTATCAAAAAATAACTAAAATGTTCGTAATCTTTTTTTACAAGGATGGTTAAGTCACATATATTAGGTAAAATTCAAAACTGAAACGAAACTTCAACAATCTTCAATGCCTCCAACTGTGATCTTATAACTTGCTTCTCCTTCCGGCACTAAAAAAAATTCAAACGTTTGAAAACATTCAGTACAACTCAAAAAAACTAAATGTATTATCTCTTAACTCAACTGTCTGGACTATCACAAAGTTTTGCAACTCTTTCATCGCCTCTACCTTTTCTTAGGGAGATTCGGGTAGAAGAAGCGTGTGCTAAGACATGACCTCCTACTGGTTTCTTATCTGCGCCTGAGAACATACTTGCAGCGCCTGGGTCTGATTGCACTTGATTTGTTAGGAAAATACCTATGAATATTTTTTTGGCGAGTCGAGCATAATGTAAGGACCCAGTCACTTCATTAAGACTTCATACTGGAGAAGTTGAGAATGGAACAAGATAATAGTCAGATCACTAACATATATTGAACTCTTCCGAAATCCGTGTTAGTCTAGCCAACATTTGATTTAACTTCTGTTGACGTTCAGAAAGCTCTCCACGACCTGAATAATCAACCCGAAAGAGTGCTAAGATAGAATCAACAATCTGAAGAAGAGAAAAAAAACGTTTGGTCAGTTTTGAGAATCTACCCAAGTCTAAGAAGGAGACCAAAGAATTACCAAAAGCTTAAAGTCACCATCTTCAGCAAATTTGGCAGCTAAATGAACAATTAAATCCATCTCTGATATACGATGGATGAGGTTCATCAGTATTTTCTATTCAAAGTTCAATATATTCCTATGAATAGTTCAACCAGAGAAGAATAACTTACGATGTTCACTGTTCGCAGCTCTTCCAACGATAATGTTCTCGAGTGACGCATCAGGATCCATACTGAATCTCTCAGCAATAGCTCTTATCCTTTCAGGACGAAAAGTACCTTCAGTATCTATATATGCTACCTATGAAAACACGCGTGTCAGAAAGTCTAGAAATCTATATCTCTTCATCATCACGCTTCCAATACTTACTTTTCCAGCCCCGCCGCCCATTTCAACTGGTAATTGTGCTGTTAGGCAAAGCGTATGACATAGTTGTGTTTTACCACATCTTTCATTTAGATTTTTAAAGGAAATGGAAACAATCAGTGATAAAATATTTGACGATTATGACTTTGAACATACCTGAATTCTCCATAAACTGAAAGAAGGTTTGCATAAGTCAGTCTGATAAACTCTTTTACCTTCTGAAAAGGCATCATAAAAGGAATCAAAGAAATTACCTTCAGTGATTGATTGACTTTGAATCCCTCCACCTAACATTCCGTCTAACGCTTTACTTCCAGTTGTGAGCATTACCACTTTATCACGATCAAGTAGTAAATCCGAACCTGATAGATGATTTTTTTCATTCAAGGTTAGAAAGCCAGAGATTAAGAAGTCAAAGGTTTGAAGACTTACCAGTTTTGAACATTGGACCCGAAAGTTTAGAAGCAGAATCTTTGATTTTATCAACTTTGATCTCACTGATTCCCTAAAGAAAAAACAAAAGGTAAACAAGTTCAACTAGATTTATCGCAATACAGATAATTAGGAATTCCAAGTTACTTTAAGTGATGTTAATTGTTTTCTAGAAGCATTTAAAACACTCTTGATAGTAGCAAATCCACCATCCTTTAATTTTTTAATATCTTGAGCTGAGATTCCCTATTGAACTCAAGAAAACCAACCAAAACCAAAAAGATTAAGAAAATGGAATTCATCAGAGGAAGATAGAGATGAAGAATCGACTAAACTAATTCTTGTAATGCGTTCACATCAATATAAAACCTAGCTTCTGGATCAGTTGTCATGATGATTAAGAATTATTTAACTGAAGAAAGCTTTGTTTTTGGAAAGGGCTTGTGGGTAAACAGGTTTTAGGAGGAAATATTTGTAATAGATAATTGGATTGCAGTGAATTGGTAAAAACTTTGAGACGGTTTTCAAGTCAACTTTGGTTTTTGATGGTTTTTAATGGTTTTCTAGTAAAAGAAATTGAATGAGGTCATTGGACTGATCATGACGCATATATAGCAAACCCACGTCATGATCTGAATCATCAAATCTGATTTCACTCGGCTCTAAACATCATCACTCACATTCAGATATGAGGAATAGAGAAACAGGTAATCAAGGCAGCGTTGGATTATGGTCGATTCGATGATTTTGTAAACCAATCACAGGATTTCTTAAGATTTTAAAAAAACATCAGGATTTTTTGTCTTTGTTCGTCAAATTCTGTTTTTCTCTATTAGGTTGGTTCAAGTTGGAAGATGACCAAAGAATAGGTGTCCTTACATCAAAATTCTGCTTAATCTTGTTCATTTTTTTCAAAAAAATACGTGGAAGAAGCCATTCCTGAGAAGCACAATATGCAAAAAGACAAGAACAAAGAAACTTTGAAAGGTTGGGAGGCCAATGTACTCAAAACTTTAGACACTCTGGTCAACTTGAACCCCGCTATTTGCTTGATTACCACCAAGATTTCAGTGATTCAATCAAAGAGACGCTCATTACATAAATTTTTCATCTGTAAAACCATGGGCGCTGTTTAGATTTACACACAACCGTCGTGAATTTCTCAATAAATACTGAGGGTGTTTTGAAGACATATTTGCCCTTAAAGTTTGGACCGTAGTGTATGGTTTAGGAGAAGAAGCTCATGTATGGATTCAACATCTCCCGACAGAGTCTATCAAACTTGGCGGGCTAAGTTAGCCAAAGTTTATTGAATTAACAGACAAGTCCTTTCCGAATCATCTCGGATGTATTTAAAATGCTCAAGTATTCAGCGCACCTACTTCATAGAATCATAGAATCATGAAAGGGTGAAAAATGAATTGTACACCATATTCAATTTACAAACCACAAAAGGGTTCGAGAAGTCAAGTGTGTGTATGTAACTAAGGGTACATACGCAGTTGAAGAAAGAAAGGGACCATCAGTTTCGCTCAATCCTGAATCCTGATGATCGATTGAGTTTTAAGTTTCACTGAGTTCGGTACATACATAATCGGTCGTACAAGCTCCCATGATCGGGAGTTTCAGGAAATTGGTCAATCCAGAATTTGACCCAAGAAAACCCGGATGTAGACCAAGAAAGATTCAAGAAGGATAAATATGTATGCAAGAAAGATTACAACACACCATGAGATTTATACATTTTGGATTTGTTCATAAAGAAAAGTAGACCCTTTGATAAGTATTTGACTGAATTTTGAGAAGCTTAGAGATTATGAGTATCTTTATTCGAAAAAAACTTTGAGTTAGATAAACTGTAGTCAGGTTTTTCAGGAAAGTGAGATGACGACCAAGAGATCAAAGTTTTTCATGAGGTAGTAAAGAGAGACTGAGAAAGGAAGACATATAAAAGGGCTTGGATGAGCTTTGATGAGGATGAGGATTGGATTGAATAGCCAATCCGAAGTATTAGCTCATCACCTTCACTCATCCTCTTGAGTTGGTTGAGTTTTAGAGTTCACAGTACAGTCATCCTCTCCTCCTACCGAATTTGAATTTAACACTAGTAAAACTATTTAATTTACATATCACATTCTCAATTTACTTACACACAAGAACAGTCAACACACCACCAACCTACTACACCATCATTCAAAACCAGAAGTGATATTCTCATTGACCATCACTTTCTTTCTTTCACTTTAATCTTAAACCTTACCATCTTCCATCAAATCTGTCATTTTATCAAATCATACAATCTCACTTGATCAACTTTCAATCTACTTCCAATCATGAAGGTCAATAAACGGATTGGAAAACTTAAACAGGTAAACTTCATTCTACTGATTCTGAACAACGCTTTGAAGATCATATGAGATATTGATTTAGTTTTTTGTTCTTGGAATCAAATAGTGGACTGGTGAAAAATTAGGTGGTCAACAAAAGACAGAGTAAGTTGGATATCTCTATCATCTTCATGATCGAAGTTTTGATGATGAAATATCTAATTTCTTTGAACTTTTTTTCTTTTCTTGAATAGATTAAGTGAAGGTGATTTGAAACCCAATCCGATTTCAATCTTGATCCATGAAACCAAACTCATCTTGTTAACTTATCGCGTGTTTTTGTCGGTTGAATTCTGTAGACTTTCAATCCTTAGAACAAGATGTCGAATTACGTAAAGCAGGTGTAGATCGGATATACAGTGTTTCGAAGGAGTATTCAAAACATCTGACTAAGAAAATCGAAGCGGAAGGTACAGAAACTGGTAAAGTTTTACCGGCTGATGCCTTAGGTTTAGTCTTTGCCAATCATGGTGATGAATTTGGAAATGATAGTGCATTTGGTATGTGATTTGAGTATCTTAAAACTATCATACCATCTCATATATAGATTTTTGAAATCTTGATCGAACTGATCTTGTTTCTGATTTCGATATTTTTTGAAGGTCAAGCATTGGTCGCGTTTGGAAAAGCTCAACAACAATTAGCCAATGTCACAGCAAATTATACAGATCAATTAAATTCAGGATGGTTAAGTTCATTAGAAAAATCGATTGCACAAATGTCAGAATATACAACCCAAAGGAAAAAATTAGATTCACGTAGATTAACCTATGATGCGATGTTAGCTAAAGTACAGAAATCGAAAAAGGAAAAACGAGATTTAGAAGATGATTTGAGAGTAGCCAAGAATCGATATGAAGAAACGAGTGAAGAAGTTCAAGAGAGAGCTATTGGAATTCAAGATGCTGAGAGTGAACAACTTACGGCTTTATCAAAGTTTTTGGAAATCGAATCGGCTTGGATTGATGAACAGAAAAAGATTATGGATGATCTTAGACGTCATTGGGTAGATCAGTTGAGTGATGTTTTTCCATCGTTTTCTTCTTGACTTTGCTTGATGATCATTTATTGATTGTTCATCTCACATTTGACTACAGAAATGCTCTTAAATGTGCTGGTCGTAAAAAGGTCACTGCTCATACCTTTGGAGCCGAACCAGCACCAGCCGCGAAACCTTCGATCAATAGCAAAACGGCACGACCAGCTGTTCGTAACAATGCAAAAAATCAAGGACTATCAAGTGACCAAGAAGAAGAAGAAGATCAATTACCAGCATCAGACGAACAAGAAGAACCTGAAGATGAAGAGGATTATGAACCTCAACGTCGAAAATCAAAAGCGTCTGTCAAACCAACCCGTCCAAATCCTGTGACCCGTGATTCTTCGATCAGGGAAAAAGTCGTTTCTCCACCTCGGTACGGCGGGGTCAGGATTCCAGGCATGCCACCAGCCTCTAATTCTGAAGAATCTCTCTCACCTAAACATGACCCACCTGCGAAACGACGTTCTTCGAATGTACTCAAACAGCAACAAGTCCCTTCCTCTAGTCCTGGTATGAGAAGATCTTCGACAGCTCCTTCAAAACCAGCTACAAAGGTCTTGAAAGCCAAATGGGCTTATTCAGCAACAGCGGGAGATGAACTAGAATTAGAAGTAGGAGATCGAGTGAAAGTCACATCTGAAGTCAATGCTGAATGGTTCATCGGGACAAATGAAGCGACAGGCGAGACTGGAATGTTTCCATCAGCATATTGTGTAGCCGATGAAACGGTTCATAATGCGCATAAGTTTTTGATCCCAGAGACATCAGATACGTTTGCAGATCCAGAAGAAGAGGAAGAAGAAGAAGAACAGGAAGAAGAAGATGAATCAGAAGCTGCAGCACTTAGACCACATCAATCAGCTACTCTACCTATGGTTCGACATACACCATCGATTGCCAAACTTGGGTTACCTAATAGTAGTGCTAGTACAGGTAAAAGAGCACCACCACCACCACCTACTAGAAGAGCTATGACGACGACTTCAGCACCTAAAGCTTCACATCATCCTTTATCATCCTCTATAAATGGAGGAGGCGGAGGAGAAACCCATAGTGATCAACCTGAAGCATTTGGAAGTGTTAGTGAATTGAAAAAAAGATTAGGAATGTTTAAATGATTTTCACTTGACATTTTTTTCGAATCTCATTTGACATCTCAAGTCTTCTTTGCCTTCTTTTCCTTTTTCCTTTTTCCTTTTTCTTTCTCCCAATCTTTCATCCTTGTAACAAATCACTTGGTACGCTCATATATATGTTTGGTTTTTTTCTTTGGTGGGAATTTTTTTTTTGATTTGAAAGTTTAATGAATTTCAAAGTTTTCATGATTCTTTTCATTTCGTTTCTTTTTTTTTGGTTTCTATCTTTGATTCTTTCTTATTCATATCATCCATCATTCATCTTCTATCTTCCATGATCATTATATAATCGTTTGTATTTTGATTTGATTTGATTTCAAGTTTTCAAGTTTTCATTGTTTGACAAATAAAAAAAAAATATATAGAAAAAGGTGTTTTCTTTTTTTTTCTTTTTAAAGAGAAGAATAGTTTAAAAATATCTTTGAAAGTTTAAATTTCTTAAGAAGAGCAAGTTATAAGACTAAGAAGAAGAAAATGTTGGATTTCTTTTTCTCTTTGACTTTTACATTTATGTATTGTTTTGTTTTTCTTTACTGAATATTGTTGAGTTTTATAATTTTAAGTTTTTTTTTTCTGTTTGCATTGTACACTGATTGGTCTTTTTGTGTTAGGTTGATTTTGAAATTTGATTTTCTTTTTTGGCCTCATCATTTGATACATATATAAAAGTATTGAATTTTTGAAGTGGTTGAATTTGATGTGTTTTTTTTATTTAGCTTTGGTTGGATAGGTTTGGTATTATAATTTCAAGAAACTTTTGAGTTGAACTTGAGGTTAAATGAAACTCAAAGTACTTTGAAAGGTAACATAGACAACGGTTCCTTGTTAGTGTTGGCTGAACTGTCTTTGGGTTCCAGTTCCAGAATTGAGGTTAGATAAAGAGGACTTGGATGTGAGGGGAAATATTGACTAGATGTTTAAAGATCAAAGGTTTTGTTGTAGCTCTCATTTGATTATGTAAAGATTAGCTTGCAAATCATCGACCTGGTGATTAGCTTTGTTATCATTTCTCTTGTTCCAAACACAGAATTGACAAAAAAAACGAAAAATATTACACAAAGTGCCCTCCAAAGAAAAAAATATATATTGATAAAGGGTATGAGAATACTATTACAAGAAGATAAATTAGTATGATTCGGAAGTATTAAGTTTGTTGTTGGATTATTAAATGGGTTTACGGACGAACTTGAAGTGATCATATTATAGTTTAGAAAATTTCAAAAAAATGGATCATCATCATATCAAAGAAAAGGGTCTACGGTGTGAGAAAGCACATTATAAGCTATACAACTGAAAAACAAAATGAAATTAGGATTAAACAAAACAAAGCAAAGATTAAAGAATTGAAAAGTGTTTAGATTACCTTGTCTCAAAAGAGTTGATGACAAGTTTAAATGAGTTAAAGTAAGTATATTGTTCTTTAGGTGATGCCCAAGATGGATCATGTCCACCAAAGAAAGTATCACCCATGATTCCAATAAACTTGGCTGGTAAAGTGTTGGTAGGGTTCAAGACTTTTCGCAACTTTAGGTTTAAAAGACTAGTAAGTAAATCTGATGAGACAGGTTGATTGATTCCGATTTGTGGTATACCAGTTGGAATCACTGAACTTAATGCTAAAGTAGGTGAAAGAGCCGAAGTGAGCAAGTAATTGCTTCCTGATTGGGGGGTTTGTTGAAGTGTCTCGCTTGATAAAGTGGCGTAACCTGGTGCATAACCTAATCCAGGAAAATCGCCTAGATAACGACTAGTAGGTCCTGATGAGTCTGATGTGTCATTCGAGGCGGTGAGAGGTGTGACATAAGTTGTGCTGTTGTACACATCTTGAACTTGTGGTACAGTCTCAGCGTAGATCTGAGGAGGTGCGCTTCTAGGAATTGATTGACCATCATCTCGACGTAGAATCAGACCCCTAAACAATCCGGTCGGGGCGGGAGGCAGAACACCAAAAACTGAAGGCATGATACCGAACGCAGAAGCTGGGTCGAGGAAAGGTTCCGGAGTTGGAGTAGCTAGGATTGGGTCATTGACAATCGTAGGATGAAGTGTACCATGAGGCTTTGATTGTGGCCCAGGTTTGTCGTCATTTCTGTAATATGCATCATGAGCTGAGATGACCAGATTCCCATTGACCCAAACGTTGAAACCACCATTGGGTAAACCATCAGTATTAAGCCAAATATCTTGACGTACATCTGTCCAACTACCTGGAACAAATTTCCAAGCTCCTCTACCTATAGAATAACCATATTCTGCATTACAATATGATTTTGGTGGGATCTTGCAAACATTCGGACCTTGCTTCTTCTTAGGTGCATAAAGATATAATTCTCCCATCCCACCCTCTCGGAACTATTAGAAGCAAGATCATGATTAATTTTTCAATAATAGTAAACTTCTTATTTTTTTTGAAAAGAATTTGAGTGAATCAGGATTCACTTACCATTAGACGAGTACTAAAACAATTGTCAGAGTTAGCTCCACCTGAACATCCTGTCTTACCACCATATAATCCTGGTAATTTTCCACCTTTGACAAAATCAAAATCAAGAGGGAAGAACACGCTATAAGAAAATGTCACGTTTGTGGCGTGGGATATATTCACTGTTTGAAGTTTTCAGATTGAGAAGTAGTTTTTTTATAGGAAGATGTGAAGAAGTTCAATGAATATGAGCACTTTCAGCTCGTCAACATAAAGAAAATAACCAAACTGACGTGGTGAAGCATAGAAACCCATTCCTCCTTGTGGGGCTTCTCGGTTAGCTGGATTGATAGATCCCTCTGGATATCTGACTTGAATTACGTTTCCTACGTTCATAGTTGGTCTTCCAGTATTTTCCAAAGCTGACACCACGGGCAACGAAGGTAAGACTTCGACGTTATCATCCCTTCCCCAGCTCCAACGTTGGACGGCAAGATCATCAAGGGTGAAGTCTTTTGGAAGTTCCCATTCATTTGAATTAGGATCGTGGTGCGAGGGCCGTGAAGTACTTGAGGGTGAAGCGGTAGGCCCGGCTCCACTGGCACCTACTACCATTGTCGCGGAAGCTTGAAAAGTCACTGTCGTAGGTACTACGACATACTGGATTTGTGTTAATGTTGGTGCGATGGTGGGAAGAGGTGTAGGTGCGATCTGAAGTCCTGAAACTCCTACTGGGTTTACGTATAGTGGATTTAGTGCTGGATTTGGAACCGATTGGACGTTTTGCGTCAATCTTAGTAGTATTAAAATATTTCTTTCTAATGATGATCTTGAAGTAGCTAATCGTGAATTTACCATACTAGAATGGTATCTCATCCAGTCAAAGATTTAATGACTTGATCTTTCAAAAAGAAATTGAGGGTATTCTTCAAGTTTATGTAGCGAAAGAAAATAGTTTTTGAGTGATGCCTAAAATCTTTTTGAGATCCGAAATCGAAAATTGTTTGTATGATTTTGGAGTAGAAAAATATTCAAGTGAAGGAACAAAGAATTGGAAGGAATGATCAAGCAAAGGAGTAGATGATTGGAGGTGAAAATAACCTGACTTAAACCAGACAACGCTTAATTTGTCGGGGGCTGGAGGTGATGGCAGCTATCAACTTGCATTTGTCCACTGTTAGGTGAAATTGAACACGCGATCATCTCTTCTATGGGCGTGAACTCGGTCAGGTGTTATGTTAGTCAAAAAGAGATACCAGAGAAGGCTGAGGGTGGACTGGTGATGCAGCTGGAAGTATGATATCCGTAAGTCTTGCAAGCTCATCCTTCGCGAGTACTACTTTTTCACACTCCTTGTGATGACGAGATACAAAGAGCTCTCGTCGATTACACGAACGAACCGATTACTTACTTCGACCGATTTGATAGCAAGGGTGGCGAAGCAAAGGAGTTAATAGTAAGAGTATGTCACGATGCGCCGGGAGTCTGACTGCCGTGGTCCGGCTGATCTGGATGCGTCTTTTGATTGCAAGCCTTCCGACTTCCTATCGCATCAGCGTGAGGCCCTGTATCGCTAATACGAAACTTTGATGGGCAAAGTTGGTTTTGCGCAAAATCTCACCCTCATGACACGTGCGGTACGTACCAGCATCATGAACCTCACCACGGACCTTTCAGGCAAACATCGTTTCCTGATAGCCCAGATATAATTTCATAATCTCACCCTGTTTGAAGCATCATGGGGTTGGGGAAGTTGCATCCTCACAAGCTAACCGGATTTGGCGCACCAATCAGTTTTATGTCCTATCGCCAATACACATCGGTCTTGAACCGAATCACTGTCATTTAGCTAAGCATCAAGTGCGCACACCTCTTTCCCGGGGGTCTCTCTCCTATAAAATCCAGGATGGAGAACGGTGGGAAGACTTTCACATAGAGGTGAATATGCTGCAATCTTTGTCAATTTGGTCTCTTATGTTAACAGCAAAGGCATCTTTGATATAGGTTTACAAATTCCGACGCTATCATGAAGGTATGAATTCCGGCGCGATTGATAAATATATGAGTCAAAAAAGCTCGCAGACACATTAAACAAGGACATTGAAAGAAGAAATCTGGCGAACAAACGGTATTGTACAACAATGATGAGTATTTCACCTTGAAATCAGTATAAGGCCAACATCATTGGAAAGCAGATCAGTGAACAGAAACAAATGATGGTCTGGCATGGAAAATGAGTGAAACCGAGGCGATGAAGAGGAACCGTTTCCGGAAAAACAAGGAAGTCTATCTGCATAATTGTAAGCGACAATAGAAGTGGTGCACTTGGCCTTGAAGCGTTTTAGCTCAATTTAAATGTTGATCCTTCGAGGATAGACGGTATTTATGTCTCTGTGTCCATTACCAATCGCCACCAAAATAATCATCGCCGCCTAGCTGGATATGTCCGCTAGTGTGTCGAGCGGGCTGTCTCTTGGCCCTTATAATTGCATACAGCCCCAGAGTTGAGTTATAGAAAGTCAGAGATTCCTGTGACCAAAAAAAACATGATGGTTCACTTACAAGCGCACGTCTGGAACTGATCCGATCCTGGGGCCAATAGGGATTGCTGACGAGAACATCACTAAAACACATTGGAAGAAAAGCAAGAAGCGCAGTGATGTTCATGAATAACAAGATCAATGTTTGGAGTCAAAAAACAAAAGGATCATCAGCTTACCTCTGCAGAGCAAGAAAAAGCCAAAAGCTCGTAGCAAGTTTGAGAAAGAATTCATATTTGCGTAGGGTGAGGATAAAATTCAAGAAGTGTCACTGGGATCCAGAATGGATCTTGTTTGCGTTTAGATGGTGAGAATATAAATGGAGTTTACGGCACGCCTCAGCCTGAAACAAATTTAGAGAAGTTAGGAGGACCGTTGGTTGAGATAGAGTCTGGAGCCATCTGCACTTGATTACTCCCTATATATAGACAAGAAAGCATTCACATATGTAGTCGAATTGGAAGAATGAGCATCAAACCCTGTCATCAATCTTGAAGACGGGTATGCATCTCCGCGCGGACTAGGCGGAAGAAGCAGCAAGAAACTTTCCCCTCTTCGTGCCATGTCAAGACAGGCTCACACAGGCTCACACGGTTCATTCGAGAGCTCGTCAGCTTTCCTCCACCACGGTATCTGCATAGATACTTTTTTTTTATCATTTGCCTTTTATCAAACAAGATTCGGCGGAAAGGCCAGAGTGTAGTCAGGTGGGCAAGCTTAGTCATCGGTTTTCTTCGAGATATGATCGAGATCATCCACCTTGCATGAGGCGTTGTCTTCTCTGATATGTTGACGGATCGATATGTCTTTGAAGAGAATGAGATGACTTCAATTCTTTCTCATTCTTCGTTTTGTGCAACATCGAATTGTATGTATCAGATGACAACTAATTCATGGAGGCTTGGCAAGGTTGTTGACACTTGCATAGATTCACTCCACTTGAACACCTTTGAACACACTTGAATCCCTATCAAGTCTTTGGGCGTTCGTTCGGATTCACATGTCCCGCATTGGTCTCAGCACGATTTGTGCGGCGAGACTGATTTCTTCTGGGGAGGCGCTGAGAGGCGGCGTCGAACGGTCCCGAGCGGAGATATACATGTGAGGGACCGGTCAAAGTTTTGGAACGCTTCACCTGCCTTTCCTCTTTGTTCAAGCTCCACTTTACTCAAAGCTCTTTCATGCTCATGTTTGGCTATTTATGTTCCTATCAAGAGATCCTGAACTGGCAACCCAATCATGTTCATTTAAATCAAAAAGGGAGTATGATACAACTTGGTAGGTGAGCTCTAACCAGCAACGGGAATTGAAAGGTTTATAATATCATAAATATGTAACACGAATAATTTTATCTACAAAATGAAAGAATAAATGTCCAAAAGCCAATTGAATGTCCAAAGAGTAAGAGTAAATGTCTAAAAATAATCAATACTTCTGGTGAACAAGACCAGTCACAAACGACCCTCCCATTATGGTATATGCTCATTGTATATTGAAATTAAAATCTATATATGTGACTTTATGCACTATATATGGATAAATTCCGATTGCGGTTTGTCTTTTGATGGCCGATGGTGGGTTGTATCACCAATCTGACCAAGAGTCACCGCCAAGTGCTATCCGTGAACCTACAGGGGCATGGTGATGATGATGATGATGATGGTGGTGATGATGTTTCTTGACACTCAAAGATGTATGAAAGCCGCATAGTCACGTTGCAGGATTAGTTTTTCGAATGAGACTCAAAGAGCAGACCGTGAACTCGGCGTGAAGAACTACGTACTATTCCACCAGTTTTCGGAACTTGGAATCAACCGGCATTGATGATGTGAAGATAACTGAAGTTCAACGAGATACAAGTGACGACATGAATGATTCGACCCAAAGAAAAACAAATAGTTAGCACAAGTATTTGCGACAGAGAATTCTGTCTCTCACTTACCTACGCAGAAAAGAAGATAAATCAAAACACTTTGAAGGGTAGGCAAAAAATCCATCTCTCAAAGTATGGGCTTGCGAAATATTTAAATTGTGAAAACTCTTTAGAGTAGATTTTGATGAAGTTTACGAGATGCCCAAGAAGACATGAAAGCGAGGTCGTACATTTCTGGTGATTGACTGAGGAGTCCACTGTCTTATAGTGTTCAGAGAGGCTCTGGCCAAAATGAGCAAGAAAGGACACGAAGGGACCAAGAGTTGTACAGTTGATTTCAGAAAGCTTGGAAACTTTTGCCCGCCAAACACAAGCAAATTTGCATGTTTGTATGTACCAAAAAGATATCCTGACGTGGTAACGGTAGGTAACGGTCGAAAATTCACCGCATGGGTTTGAATGAGAAAGTTCGTTTTCATACTGAGGACTTCAAGACAGTTGAGAACGCCATAAGCCAGCAGTGCCATGTAGCACTCCTCTTTCACATCCCGCGTTCGGGGGCTCGGAGCGGCTCGACGCCTCGTCGCCGCCACGAGGACACCATTGAGTTCAGTCTAGGCATGCCATGATGCTACCCGGCAAGCAGGAATCGGATAAGTGCTAAAGAGACGAGAGCCATCTCCTGAGCCATCAGGTTCCGTCAAATTATACTTGAATTGCTCGAAAGGGAGTTTCTCCTAACCCTTCATTTGGGACCGCTAGCCGAACGGTCTTCAATCTAGATCCGGCGTCCTCCCCCAAACTGAAGACATCAAATTTCGCTCGCATTGCATCTTACCCAGCATGGCAGTCAGGGCCTGGCGAGCTTTGAGAGCTGTCGCACATGGCGCGGCAACAGTTGATCTTGACACTGGAGTCGTCTAGAGGCCGAGAAATGCCGTTGGTTAAAACTACAAGTCACAAGTAGGATAGCTACAAGATTGAAGAAATATACGGCATGCTGCGGTCGTCGTATCGAGATTTTATCGGTATCCACCTCGTCGAGCATGTGGCTCACTCGAGACTCGGTGCGAAACTTCAATCAAGTCATCCGGCGGACATCAATCGAGTCCAGGACATTCCGAGGCGCACTGGATGTCGATCTCTAACCAACAGTTACCTCTTTTACAATCGTCGATCAGATCGCAATCGAGGAAGTCACCATTCAATTGGCTTGTCGTTGGGACGCTCAACAGTTCCCTCCACTCCGTCTAGAAGAACCTTGACGTAGTGCGAACCACGTACAATCACTGCCTATCTTGAATCAGTTAATATTTGATATGCAACCGATAAAAAAGTTGCAAAACCCTACACACAGTGTAAGGTTTATACAACAGGGATTGCGCTGCTTGTCCATTTGACTCGACCGCTGGTCTGCCTTGAAGTTTGGCTACCTCTTCATAGTTTGAAAACGGTTTCTGACAGAAGCCCAAATGCGAAAGTCAACTGATGTGATCATGATGATATGCCTATTAAATTTATTGCTATGAGGCCATATAGAAGCTATGTGGATATGTAGAAGCTATGTGGCTAACGAGTCGCCTTGATAAGAGATTATTTAAATGCCCCATCCCTGCTTCACGCATTCGATGTGGAAGCCAATCGCTGAAAAGAGTTAGGAATGTTGATCGGACGTTGTCAGCGTTACAGAAATTTAAAGTTCGGCTCTCGAGTCTCATCTCTCCCGATGGATGCTTTGACAACGTGACGAAGAGACGATAAATTTCCAGTATGCCACACCGGCCTCCGGTATCGTATAGACCACACGGCGGACAACCCAGCATGCTTGACAGTAGCTCGTTGAGAAGATGATATAAAGACAAGGGCCCTGGCACATAAAGCTCACCTCACAATACCGGCCTTCAATTATCAATCTTATTCTGTTCTACATCATACATACTTGATTTCTTTGATTTTTATTCGTACCACGAACCGCAGGTCTGCTTCGTATAATTCGCGTCTTGAAGATGTTAGCCATTTGTCGTCTATTCTTGATCGTCACTCTTCTCGCTTCGCACGGATTGTCCCTACCAGTGGTCGAGGGGGATGTACAAGAAAGCTCTTCCCCGTCGACTTTAAGCACTCATAGTATTGTGAGGAGAAAGGAAAAGAAAAGTGGCAGTGCAGACTACGCATCGTTCCAGGTGAGCGGAATGTCACCCGTTATGAAATCTTAGTTCAAGATGCTTCTGCACGAATCAAGCTCACCTGTGTTGTTGATGATCACGTTTGATGCACCTCTATATTTCAGATCTCTGATGGAACAGCTGGAAAGGCAAAAGAAAACGCCATCAAAGTCTTCCTGACGCCATACAAGCTGACATTGTCAGATAGTCTCGTGATCGGACCAGATGATAACTTGAAAAAAATTAGCAAGTCAGATTACCAAAAAATAAAAAGCATGGCCTCAGTGGCAAGTAAAAGCGAAGAAGGCTTCAATAAGGCTATCAAGGTTTGTTAGGCATCCGACCTCTTTGCAATGATTTACTTTCCAGATTGTGCGGCTGAAGTTTGAGCCCCCTGTTCTGCACAGGGCGGGAAAGATGCAGCACTTCAGAGAGGAAAGGTAAATAAACAAGCGCTACATGAAAATCTCCCTGCTAATTGTCAAAGATCAACTGGGCTTATTTGCTAACCTATAACATGTCTTCAAACTCTTAGATCGCCAACAAAGTCCTGAAGATAATGGGTAAGTCAAAGAATTGAAGTTTTTGCCTCTTTTGACATCTATTAATTCGACTTTGTCTTCTTTTAAGGTCATCTGACGTATATCTATGTAAATGTATTTCAACTCTATATTCGCGATAAATTGATATTGTGATCTTCACACTACCCTATATTAAATGAAAATTGATCTTGAATCTGTTCCCATCAACTCAGATTGACAAGGCAAATGGCAAAGGTGCTGCTGATTTAGAAAAAGAGACCAAAAAGTAAGTGATACCCACTCCACGTGCTCATTTTTTTATTTGTTGGAAGATGTCATTCTATCTAGCTTGAAGCAGCTAGAATACCATTGTATGTGAAAGATCAAGCTACTTATAATCACATTGCTGATCTGGTTCAATTCACCTTTATGGGTTTGCATTGTCTTTTGATCATGAACAGGCTGAAAAAGAACATAGCTACCGATAAAGCGGATAATGGGAAGTCAATGAAGTCATTCTTAAGCAAAAAATGAAACCAGTGATCAATCTCACACTTTGCCACCACAATTCAGCTCCTTTTCTGCTCAAAGGAATAACTGATCCAAACACCCAATATACACAATGTAACCTCAGTATCGTTAATTTGTTGTACTTGAAGGTTTATCGGTGATTCATCTCGCATCCACTCAAATAATTTGGTTCTTGTCTTATGCATGGAACAACTGATTCAAACATCTAATATGGACCATCAATCCCAACATAATACACTTGTACTTGGATGTAGATGTAGATAATTGCGCTTGCTTCTCAACAAAACCATGATAACTTAATGACACAGGTATCCTACTACCTTTTTAGGGTTAACAACAAACTCATCTTTTCTCAGCTCCATAATTCACTAAAAGATGGACATCAAAGGGGACAATTTGAATGCTTGTACATATTGCTTGACGCAATGGTTGAATTTCTCATGATAAAGACAGCTTATGTGAAAAGTTATTGAGAGCAGAGTGTGCGAGTATGTCAAAACTCCCAATAAACCTTTTAAAGGATGAGTTACATAGTACTCACATGTAGACTTGTATGGTACATGGTTGTGAGGTTTCTGTTGATTTGCAGGCTATACAAGACTCAAAATCTGTTCAGGCCCACTGAGATATTCTTTTTGCAAAGAAAAGTTGCCAATCTTTCTTGAAATCACTGTATATCATGCCAGTAATGTATGCACGTCATCCACCACCTCTGTGCTGTTCTTTTGATTGCTTGATGGCTAACCATCATTACACAAAGCCAAGTATGTCACTAGTGGGTGACATAAACATTCACCCAACCAGAATCAAGAATGACAGTGAAAGGGAAAGAGATTTACTTCATATAACTCCCTGCTCGAAACAGATTCAGTTAAAAAATCACATGATCACCTGATATTTGATCTTTATACAAGAATTACCAAAGCCAAAGAAAAAGATCAATCAATAAATGGCACCAGATAAGATTCAATAAATATAAACTGATGCAATTGAGAGCTAAAAAAGGATCATGCTTATTGACCACATTTAAAACGATATATTTAAACAAATCTATTGTAAGAACACGCACATATAAAAGACCTACATAGTATTTCATGTTTCTTGATTATCACCATTTGATGGTATATCATCTAAAGCCTTTTCAAATGAACTTAGATCGATTTCTTCAGCATCAGGTTCAAGTAAGGAAGCATCTGAATTTACTAATGCTTTATTAGATTCGAATAGTTGTCGACCTAACAAAAAAGACCAAGACCAAAGACCAATCATCAATCAACAATCAAATTCTTTACGATAAGTTGATTTCTCCAAAAAAAAATGAAAACAGAATCATGAGATTTTTCTATCAACAAACCTGTAAATTTATTTAATCGATTTTTGAATTCATCTCTTTCTTTGGGTGTTAAAGATTTTAATTTTTCATCTTCAATTTTCTTTTGTTGTAATTTAATCGTTTCATTAAACTTTGTACGCCAAATCATAAAAGTTTCTTTATTAACAGGTGTACCTTTTGCTCGATTTTTTTCTTGCTAAAAAATATCGTATATTCGTATTGTTTTTTTGATTTACAAAATAATCAATAGCCAAAGTAAGTAAAATGAAATGTATTGGAAAAAAGTATAGAATTGAGCTCAACCTCTTCTGCTGCCCTTAGTTCATCTTCTTCTCTTTTCTTTCGTGCAGATTCTCGATCAATCAAAACCCTACCAAGTTCTTGACGTAATTCAGTATAAAGAGTATATCCCATAGCATCTCCAACACTTTCATTTGCCTAGAAGGAAATATCAAGAGAAAGAATTAAAAGATTCAAATGAGCTTCAAATTTCAGTTAAACCCTTCCGTTCTTTCCAAAATCAAAAATCTAATCAAAAATCGGACTAACAATTGTAGTAAGTTTATTAATCAGTAACTCTTTTTCAAAATCATCTAGTTTTCCAATCCGATCTGAAATCTCAATTAATGGAATTGTAGTAGGATAACCATCTTGAGGTGTTAAATCTAAATCTACTTCCACTTTTGTTTTCAATTGTTCCGTATAGTTTTCAATCAAAGAGGTATTTTCAAAATTCATTAGAAATGGTTCGTTTTCGTTTTCTTTTTAAATGAATGTTCATATATTTTGCAAAAAAAAACGTTCTATTCACATGGATCTGAATCTGATGGTTCTTCTGGGCTGACCCTCATAAGAAATCCCGGTGGATCATGTTTAACTAATTTATTCAAAAGTTACACCAAGATTAATTCAAAGATTAGATTTCTTTTGGTTTCTGATTCCATGGAATATCTATTCCAGTGATGATAACATAGTAAACTCACTCACTCACCTTGAAAATCAGCTTCATCAAAGATCACCGTCAAAACTTCAAGTTCTTCTTCCATCCTTCAATCAAAACCTTTCCGAGCCGGATTACCTGACCGTGACGGGAAAAAAGCGGGATTGGATTTCTGCCTTGACGAGGAATAGTGCGAAAGGTTCCTCAAGAGTTGTGAGTTAATAAAAGTTCAATGTTTAAGTTTTCTTCAAATCCATCAAACCCGTTACCCCCCAAGTGACCAGGACGGTATCATTACCCGCACATAGATCGAGGGCGATCAAGAAACCCGACCCGGAGCGATACCAGCCTCTCGAGTCTTTGGAAAACTGCCAAGGTCTAAATGATTCATTTGAATTTTGTATGTATCTAAATCACGTTGATAGTGATGGGTGTAGAAAGTCTATTGATAGACAAAACGGTACTTATTAGGAGGAGCTATCAAGAAATGATAACGGGAACGCAATCTAATTGTTGGAGGGAGAAGGTCAACCTCAAGAGAGATACCATAGTATGGAAACTTGATTAACACAACCCAAACAAATCATGGTCTACAAAAAACCTATGATGAATCAACATCAGAAACATCTCAAAAATATTCCTCAATCAATCAAACGATAACGAAAAAAAACGACAATAAATAATCAACATCAATACAAAAACCCCATTTCAATCAATCACTCAATCAATTAATAATCACAACTGGAAAACAAAAGATGATATCTCGATCACCAAAATAGAAAACTTTCAATGTGTCCACATTCATCATCATCATCATTATCATTCAAATTCATAAAAAAATCACTACTCATTAAACAATGTCCATTGCAACCCTTTCATATCCACCTTTCCTACTTTTCCTTTGATCTTTAGTCTTGAATCCACCATCAGGGACCTGTACAAAAGAACATCAAAACCAAAAGAAACAAGATTATCAACATTCAAAATTCAGAAAGCACATTTAAAATCAAGAAACAAAGACAAAAAAAGACAAAAAAAACCAAACTTACATCAAATAATTCTAAATAATCCACACCTAATTCATTTCCATTACTCCAAAAATCATAACAATTCCTCTTAATCCCTTTATTAAATGGATTCTTAACTTTCCCAGCTTTCACTAAATTCTTAGCACCCTTTCCTTGAACCAATTGATCTAACCCAATGATCTTTAAACAGAATCCCATCTTTCCTTTAATCCCATGTTGATGATGTTTCTTACAATTAGGTTCTTCAATCACTTGAGCTTTTAAACTTGAGATGGCTTCTTGATGATTTAAATGAGAATGTGAATGTGAAGATTGAGAAGATAAACTAGAACCACCTCTACCTCCCATATACCCAAATTTAGAATAATTACTTAATTCAAATGTCGTCATTTGTCGACTGATTTGCCAAAGTTGTGATAATAATAAAACTATGGTCCATGTTAATTGAATGGCTGACCATACAGTTACTGAAAACGTAAATGTATCAAATGATGAGATTTGACAAAGCAGTATGGAGATTGAACATGAGGCTGGTAATTCTGCTGATTCTGTTGTTGGTAATACTGGCGCTTCTGATAGGTCTGTACAAAAACAACATCAATTGTCAATTCTCCCTGGAGCCTTCTTGTTAGAATGGCCTGATCTGATATAAAAGACTCTTACATGCATAGGCGAGGACTATATAACATGAAATGCCTGAAATCAAGCTTGCGACAAAGACCAAAAACTGTCGATGGTTCTTCACACCCACACAATTCCAAATCCATGGACAATGGCTGATTGATGAAAGCGTCAGCTTAAGCCACATATAGGGTCAATTGCAAAAGACTCAACTGATCAAACTTTGCTGTACATCGATTACACAAACGACAATGCTTGCTCCTTAGAGGTCTACGAGCCTAATCCACCAAAAGTAATTGCATAAATCAGTTTCAAATAAGAGTATCAATCAAGCTAAAATCAAAACTAACTTGACAAGTGATACAAAAATGAGTACCATCAAATTTACCCGATTCAACAAGTCCTTCTACAACTCGATTTAATTCACCTTCACCTCTAGGAAGTGGTATAAAACCAGGATCAAGTGAAACAGCTCTAAATAGATTATACATGCAAATTAAGCAGGATAAAGCAAAAAAGAGATTTGTAGCAGCGTAACCAGGGGTATCTGTGATTCATTCAACCGAAATCAAGATCAGTTTGAGGGAAGATGAAAAAGACGGTAAGAGAATCAGAAAGGGAAACAGATGACCAACTGCGAACAAGTCTTGTGAGCCAAGTATAAGAAACCCAGAAGATGCTAGCCACAATGACGCTATTGAAATAAGGACTTCGAGTGATAATATCCCCAGTAGATCCACCACCACGTCTTTTAGCATCTAAAAGTGTCACACTAACTACATGATGTAATCCATAACCTTCAGCTAAAGCCAATAGCCAAGCACTAACCCAAGGTAAAGATTCAAAGGTATTGAAAGCGAGTCCAAGAGTAAGAGTTGATAAGATATAAATGGCAAGCTTTGTCTTAAAAGGTGAAAGTGTTAAATGTCGTGGAATCCCATTAGGTTCAAGTCCTACTTCTCCTAAAGCTTTAGTCCATGCTGAGATTGATTTTAATTCATCTGCCATTTCCTTGGGTGTTTTTCCTTCGATCGTACGAGCGTGAACATCTGCACCACCTAAAACGATTTGTTTGATACAACTTGCGTTTCCTTTGACAACAGCCCAATGTAAAGGTGTCATCCCAGTCGAATCCTTGGCTGCGACACTAGATCGATGAGCAAGAAGTAAGTTAACAGACAGTGTATCACCCTGATAACAAGCCCAATGTAAAGCAGTATGACCTTGTGGATCAGTTGATTCGAGTGAATCAGAAGATAATCGATTAGAAGCCAAAAGGTAAGCTAAAGTAAGTGCAGAACTACTATGAGTAGCAAGATGAAGAGTATTGAATCCTTGACTATCGACTAAATTAGGATCAGCACCATGTTTTAAAAGTAAATGAACCACATAAACCCTGCCATTTCGTGCAGCCCACATAAGAGGAGTAGCCACTAATTCACCACCAAACGCGTCAATTACAGCTCCACGTGAAATTAAAAAAGAACAAAGAAGTAAATGTCCATTGATTGCAGCCCAATGTAAAGCAGTGATTTGTTGATCATCTACATCTGTAACTGATTCAGTACCACTTTCAATGATTTCTGTTAAAGTGGCCAGATCACCATGTTGAGCTGCAGTATGAAGTGGACCAGGACCAGGAGGTGGTTCATCGGGTAGATTGAGTGCATCTCTCATATTGAAAGATCGGCTTCTTTCATGAGATTGATTTGTGGGAGTATTAGGAGTTTTTTCATTCGTAGGAGAGAAAGTAGCTTGAGCTGAAGTAGTTGAAACAGTAGGAACCGATGATGAAGATGGTTTGATTTTATTGAAATGTGATTGATTTGGACTTGAATTTGTTGAGCTCATGTTGGTTGATGACGGATGGTTGATGGTCGATGATTGATGATGATGATGGTAAGATGAGTTGAATGATAAAGTGAAGGTCAAGAAGACATCCAATTAGACTGTTATGTATACATGTGCTACATACCAACTTAAGCGGTAATATGTAATTTAGGATGATCGTGGCTGTGCAGTTCACATTTCAAATTCTTCCACACATTTGCTGTCCTTCCTGATCAGTTGGATCAATTCACAACATGATCATGATCAAGTGTGGCACAACTGCAAGTGGATCAAGTCAAATAGAGCGGAGTCCAAACCCCCGAGAATCATACTGGAGCCAAGTCAAAACTCAGTCAAGCTGAAGAGAGAGTTCAAGTTTGTCAAACAGATGCTAAGAACTCAGGTTTGAACATTTACTTCTTCATTCTCATCATTGGTATAAAGCCTTATGTAACTCAAATCTGATGATACTCATGAGTCACAGTTTCTTGAAAATAGAAGACTCTAACCAAAGAACATAGTATCAGGGTGATCTAGACAATAAGGGGGCTCAAGTCAAAAAATTTGCGGCCTTTTCTTAAAAAATTGGGGAAAGTTTTTTACGGTACTGTGCTGTGAAAACTTTTCCCAATTCGTAAAAAAGGACCGTAAAAATTTCTTTCGGATCTCCTTCTGAGCAGCAGATTTACGCAAATTTGTGTAAATTTGCTGCTTAAAAAATTTGGGATGTCGTATAAGAGCACCCACTATCATGAGGGTGATTTATCGTAAATTTTGCGTTCCTGAGCGCGAAATTTGATCATGCGTGTTTTACCAAAGATGGTAACCGCATGAAATCCACTATCGGATGATTTACCGTCTGCTTTACCTGGTTTCTACGATAAATCAGGGTTTAAGCTTTCGTAGATTTGAACAAGCGCGACGCAAAATTTGATGCAGTCGTAGGGACCGCAAGTGTAAAACAGGCCCATAGTGGACCTGTGTGTAACTTAGCGGTAAAGCTACGATAAATCACCTCGTTACCGCAACCATAGTGGGTGCTCTAACTGCATAAAATTTTGCGTAAATTTTATGCAATCGGGAACAAAATTTTACGATAAAAGTAGTAAAATATTTTGACTTGAGCCCCCCTAATAAGCCTAATGTAAATAATTAGACACAAAATCTAAGTAGAACCCAACCAGTGCACTTGCTCTTATATGATAAAAACATAATGTATAAAGAATCAAACAAAATTAACATATGATACATATCACAAGGATATATTATGAAGTAAATAAATTGGATCACAGTTATTCAAGAATTTTGTATCCTGCTCAAAAAGATTTCTTTTTGTTCTTGTCAATGATTCACCAACCCCCAAACTAAAATATGTACAATACAGTCCTGTATCAGAAGCTTCTTGTTCAGTTGGGTGCATCATTCAGCTGATACATGGCTGTATTTGGTCCAATTTTATGCAAACCTTCAAAAAAGACAAAAGAAAAAAGTTGAGACAGGACATTAATTTCTAGAATGGCTGTAAAAGGGTGAGAAGCTTATCCTTTAATGATGTCCACTTGGCTACATGTGAAGAATTGATTGATTTATATTCTAAGGCTATACACTATGGAAGCAGTCAGACTTCCCTAGGGCTGTCCCACCCAACCTCCCAAAAGCTCCCAATCTGTATGTGGTGAAAGGCAATCCCAGGATGATCCCCAAAGACAACCATTCCATGTCCACTAGATGCCAAGTCTGCAGACCAGCACCAACTTGCCTTTAGCAGCTGCTCTGCACACTCTTAGGCCAACGCTGAGAAGACCAACCTGTATCTCAGGCTGGAAAAATCCGCTGTATTGGGTTCAGTCAAAGTTGGGCTGGTCCCTTTTTGGACACTGCAGGACAACCCAATCAGGCATTGGGTATTTGTGGGCACTTAATGTAGACCAGAAACATTTGGTCATTGAATACCAGGCACAAATATACCCAATATGTTGTGGGAAAAAACAGGACAGGAGCTCAAGGTTTGGCAATTGATTTGCACAAGCAGCTTTGAAGCAGGAAAACAGTAGGCTCATCCACAATAAATTGCAATGATGATGATAACAATGAAATTCTCTCTTGTTATTTGGTATCACAAACACATTCCTTTGGTCTCATGCAACAAGATTGTTCCCTGCACCTGGGACTTGACCCTCCTGCAAAAATGCCAGAAATAATATCATCTTCAGATGGCAAGTGGAATGTGATTTCCTTCACAATCTTGAGCCAATATTTTTCACCAGTGAAGGCTTCCCTATCATTATGGTAAACAATTTCATAAAACCTATTACACATAATATGAGTTTCAAAACAGAACTTGTGAAGGGGATCAAGAGGGATTTGACTTACAAGATAGCATAGTCTTAGCCTGTAAAAGCACTTCTTGAACCACCCTTCTTATAAACAACACACCATAACTTAAACCCACTCTAAATACTGGGTACTCTTTAGTCACCATTCAAACTTTCATGTTGAGGCACATTTTATATGGATTTTGACATAAATAAGATTAGAAAATGAATATTTTTATAATTTTCAATCCTATCTTTAAAGCTAACACTTTAGGCAGTCAACTGGTTATATGAATATGGTATGCCCGAGCAAGATTACATCCTTAACACATACCCAATCTTGCACCAATTCTATCCACAAATCCTTATATTCCAAACATGCCTACTGGATCAAGAAAGGTCAACAAATGGTCTGACAGAATTTGATCTATCTACTTATTTGAAAACCTCTTCACAGAAGAACAATCTTTACTTTAAGGTGAGGGCTCAAGGACCCTCTTTTCAAGTGCAATGATTTTGAGTGACCTAACTTCAGTTGATTTGCTTATGGATCAGAAGACCATGCCCACCCAAGAACAAGCTGCACTCAAAGGCGGGCACTTTAAAACTACAATTTCAATTGCAGAAAATTGATTTTTTGATTGAATTTGATTTCTTCACTGTTTAAAAAAAATTCCCTGAGAAAGCACAAGTTCTTCCAAGCGGTGAGAGCTCCAGAAGCATTTGGCAACTGCGTGCACTTTGAATGATCATACTCAATTCTATCTGTCTCTTGATGATTCATCAGGAACCTTATCTGCCAAAGAACAAGCTGCCTCAAAAGAAGGGTGCTACCATTGATCCTAGTAGGACATCACCAGGCTTGTGTGCCTGGTGATACAATTCAACAGTACGCACCCCTCACTTCTTTTCACACTTTGACATCTACTGATTTGTGTCACACCATTACACAGGTCCACTTTGCGCGCTTAAGACCTCAAAAGATGTTATCATTCTTCCAATCCAATGTTCATCTTATCTCCCTAATTGTCCCAAGATGTCTGAATATACACCTCAGCATCCTACCTTGACAGATTAACATTCTCTCTCTTCTTGGTTTGCTTCTTTAAGTTGCCATCACACTTTTTGCTACCTTCACTGTCCTTTCAGCTTGATTTGTAGAAATATAGATATCATCAGGGGTTGTCCTTCACACAGTTGTTTCTTTCAAACAATTTTTGGATTTGTCATTTTGACCAGTGTTTGCTCTTTCTTGAACAACAGTCCCCACAACACCTGAGGCACTCTGAGGCACTCTGCTTTTTGGACAAATTTTTGAGGTGGTGTGGCTTGCTGCTACAGGTAGGACCCGCTATTGATCCACTTTTAAAACACATCTGCTACACAAGTTAAGCAGCACAGTGCCTTTTGGAGTGGTTCTTGCTCTGCTTCATTAATTTTCAGGGCAGGGGAACCGCACAAGGCAAGGTAACTTATTCACATTTCTTTCAAATTTTTACACTGCTGCAAGCAACATGCATGTAAAATATGATAAAAACAAATTGAGTATCATATGCAAGTTAAAAATTACAGAGTGACTGGAACTATGTATAAGTGAGAGAAGTTAGAGTAGGAAATCAATAAGTGACAAAATAAAAGAATTAAATGAAAGAATTGAAAAGATGAAGTAAGAAATCAGATAAGCAACAAAAGATCAAAATAGAAATAAGAAAATATACTATTGCTGTGTGACAGGATAAACTAAAAGACATAGAGGATTAAAGACCAGATTAGTTAGAGGAAAGAAAATACACAGAATACGACAAATGAATACCAAATCAAACTAAAAGGAGTGAGATTCTCAACTTGCCTGATGCCTTCAAGTAGAGTTGTTTTTTGATGCTTTGCTGTCTCAAACTTTGTAGGATTGGTCTTGCACTCCAGTTTTTCAACAGCTGAGTTGGTAGGTAGCTCAGCTTCTTTTCTGCTTAACCGGACTGGCAGAGTATCTTCTGGAATTGATTCATCCTTGTGATTGGGAAGAGATCAAGACAGAGAGCTTAATAATTGCAAACTGAGATTGGGATCTTCTCTTGTGCCAATGCCAAGTTGGCCAGGTAAAGATGAATCACTTTGAACTGCACCCTTACTGTAACAAGCCACCTATTAGACTATGCTAATACTGTAGTCTCTACTCAACATACTTTACCTGAAGCTCTCACACTTCTTGTTGCTTCTACTCTTCATGTTTAAATATCATTATCAACGCAACTGGTACCTCTTGCTCATGTCTTTCCATCAGAGCCATTACACTTACCAGCCCAAGCAACCAAAGATCTCAATGTTACTACCAAGAATTCTACACTTTGCCACTTCAACTGGCCCTCAACGGCAAAAATAAGTAAAATGTGATAAAAATTGATTGGTGAGACTAATAGAAAACAGACAGAAGAAGAATAAGTAAGACAATAAGTTAATTTAGCTTCCAAAAAGGAGGAGGAAGGGGTGGACCAGGCATACTGTGCAAGCTTGGGCACCAGCAACACCACAACTGCTATGCACTGCACAGGATTTCAGCCTGTTTTAGGTGGAGAGCGGAGGGCTCCACTATAACTTGCAGCACTCCCAATTGCTAATTTTTAATTTTCTTCTCACCTGGATGTGCTTAGTGTAAAACCACTATGTAGCACACAAAACTATATAGCAGTGCTCAGCGCTACAAAGGACTTGAAAAGTCTAAAAAAAACTATTTATAAGCCACCCAAGCCCTGTCTATGAGCGGA